CTATAACAGCCACAAGGGGTCTAAATGATTGGGCCTTTACTTCTCCAACTTCATAACGGAACTCTCCCCTTCAATGTCCAGCCACACGAGCTAGCTTGCTGTTCTTAGAACACGTCAAGCTCTTTCCACGCTCAGACCTTATGCCACTAGTCTCCCTCCCTGAAAACCTCTCAGGCCACCATTCACCCCGATGGCCCCTTCCTCTCTTTTATGTATCGGAATACTCAGTGTTCTCTCCAATTCAGAATTCTCTCCTGACAAAGACCCTCCCTGACTACAATCATGGTTTTATGTCATTATGTCCTATGTATTATTCATTAGAGGATTTACAGTTTATAAATCACAGTGGGGTTTTTTTGTTGTTGTTCATTTGCTTGTTATCTATACTGTTTCCTTGAATCCTAGCGTGAAGAATGAAAATACCACATCTGTCTTGTTTAGTAATATACACCCAATATTCAGCACCGTTTGTGACACATAGTATGCACACAATTATTATTTGCTGAGTAAACTAGTAAATATTTTAGATGAATATACTGAGCCAAAGTAAGGTGGAATAACTTGTCAAATTGTAAGTTTAAAATCCAGGGATTGGATTGCAGGTCTTCAGATGTAGATTTAAAAACCTTTCCCACCACACCAGAGGATCCTCCCTATAAGTGACCCAAATAAGGAGTTCATGAGGCATCCAGGTGGCTTACCCTTCTGCGGGAGGATTCAAAAAATTCAACCAAGGCATGCTGCTTTAGAAAGGAATTCTTTTATCTGGCAAAATTTACTACTATTAAGTAAATATTAATTAACAACTAGATATCAGTTGTTAGAAGGTGTTCAAAGACAGGGTCATTGCCATTAGGCATGCATAGGGTCAGACACAACCAATCCATCTGCATCATCACATATGCCCTGGATCCAAGGAAGAGAGGCTGTGATAGCATTCACTAAGTCTTCCCTGTATCCCTCACTCACCACTGGGATAGGCTTGCATTACCATAAAGATAAAATGTGCCCTCCCCTTCAGCAAGCCTTAAGAGTTCAGGAATGCCTGAGACAGATATTTGCGATATGTACATATAATATAAAATAAATATAGGTATTTATTATATATAAACATATATATTATAAATACAAAATATTTTTATAAACACACATGTATTATATATATGTGTGTGTGTGTTTGTGTGCACATTCAGACCTGTCTATTGACAAATATATATGTATTGTTATCCAAATCCATATATACACATGCATAAATATAAACATACATATAGGTATGTGGGTATTACAACACACACAGAGGTTAATCCAACTTTCTGTCTGACATTTCTCCAAGCATTTACATATACCCATAAAATTCTTGAGAAAAAAAGTCTTGTATTTTGGGAGAGTAAAGACGATATATCAATACTGCATATAGTGTCTATATATGCCACACCAAAATATGAGGCAACAAGCATTATTCTTTATATATCATTCTTCTTAAAGCTGTATTGATCAAATACCTATTTGTTTAGCTAGTTTTCAATGACAATTCAATCTGTAAGCATTGGTAAATTTTTTAACAGTGGCAGTTTTTGTTTAGAATAAATGGAAAAAGAAATGCTAAGAAAAATAAAACCAATTGCCACATAAAGGGGGAACTATTTACATTTTTAGTCAATTATGTCACAATAACTTCTGGACTCCCAGAAGAATGGGAATATTAAAATTTTTGCGGCCTGTGTACTTATTTTATCCCAGTGAGACTTCTCTCCCCTAAATTATCTACATAATAACTCAGCATCAGTACAGGATGCCAATTACTCCAACCACACCTATTTCATAAAGCCAATTTAGACTATCTCTGTCATTTGTGTAAACCAGAAAAATCATTACTTGCATTCAAAATCATTCTAATTTATTCACTTATAGAGGCCTTACAAATAGAACAGAACGGTTAGACATACCATATGATTCTCTGTAACCAAAGGCATATCATTTTATAAAGCTCAACCAGCCAATTGTCCTTTCAATTGTTCGCAATCACAGCAACACACTAGTGGGAAACACGACCCTTCAGAAGCCAGAGCGGGACCCTTAGCACTCCCCCCACTGTCATTTCCGACTTATTCTCTCCAATACTTCCCACCCCTACAGACTGGTCCAGGCTGATCTTAATGTTCCTGGAGACAGAGGTCCTAGCACCTCAGAAACTCTAAGCTCTAGTTGGATGTTCGTTCTTTCTTTCCTCTTACCCTGCTAACCAGGTTAAATGTTCCTGTGCTTGCTTTATGCTCATTATAATACATATGATGTTTAATATTTCCCCACCCTCCTTGGCTTTTAACATCTAATAAACCATCTTCCTAAGTTTTTGTTGGAATTTTTGTACCTACACTAGGTCATCACTGAGGAAATGTCTCTATGTATTTAATGCTTTCAGACAATCAGCAAAAATGTAGTTTCTATTTCATCTCTGCTGTATGAGCTCCCCCTCATTCCTGGTGGCATCCCATCAAAATCAAATTGGGGACTCATCCTCTTAATATATTTCTTTCCATATAATCCCAGCACTATGGGTCTTTCCCCACAATGCTACCCCCATGAAGATGTATGTACAGCCTATTTTTACCAGCATCCCCTATCTGTCTAATCCTTAATGACATTCTAAGCCTCTTTGTAAGCCTAATTTGGTTTCTTTCATGAAAATATAAGTCAAATTATGTGTTGAACTGAATTGACCATCATCAATTGAGTAAAACAGTTTAAGTAGTACTCAGGGACATAAGCTCTGTTACTGTCCCCTGAAACTGATTTTTTAATTTTTATTTATCTCAATTACATTGATTTCTTTTTTTATCTTTTTTATTGTTATGTTAATCACCATACATTACATCATTAGTTTTTGATGTAGTGTTCCATGATTCATTGTTTGTGCATAACCCCCAGTGCTCTACGCAGAACGTGCCCTCTTTAATACCCATCACCAGGCTAACCCATCCCCCCACCCCCTCCCCTCTAGAACCCTCAGTTTGTTTTTCAGAGTCCATCGTCTCTCATGGTTCGTCTCCCCCTCCGATCTACTCCCCTTCATTCTAATTATATTGATTTCTATCATTCACTTTATCTCTTTCTATCCAAATTTATAATCCTGGGTAGATACACACACACACACACACACACACACACACACACACACACGTACGTACGTATGTACATATGAGTTGACAGATACATAGGTAAGAACCAAATACTGACACCTCATCCATCATATGCCTTTATAAGTGGATTTAATATTCAAATTCAATAAATACATTTCATACATTAGTCATAAAAGTGACTAAAATGGCCAGTAATAGCATACTAGTAGAATTTTTTTTTTTAGAAAAAATTTTTTAAGTCCTACTGTCAACCTCTAAATTGAACACTATTATTCAGCTTCTCTCTATGGTTTTTCCAGCTAGTCCCAGTGTAATGTTACCTGCTGCCCAACTGACTGAACCCCTAAACAAATACAGTATGGAAAGATCACAGCTTTCCCCAAAGTCCAAGGGCATGCCTCACCACCCTCTTACTTCACTCTTTCCAGAATATCACCAAAAAGGTATCTTATTTGTTACACTGGAACTTTATGATGCAAAATCAACACTCTTAAAAAAGGTTTTGGAAGCGCCTGAAAATTAGTCAATACACAGAATAGAGACACACATACTATCCTAAATCAGACATAAGGCTGTTACAAGAATATACTGCATATTTCTGCTATTTTCAAGTATATCACTTATTGACACAGCACATACAACTCACCTTCCTTCCTTCCATGGATTGCTGGTAAGTAGATCAGGAAATGCATCTGAATTAATGTGACTGATGCATTACAACTATGAAATACTTCCAAAGTATGTATCTGTGTAAAAGTGTCGTACACATCAGATATTCAGCCAATTGCCTTATGATAAATATATGGTAGCCACATAAATGTATTAGAAAATGAGGATAACCATCTGAAATTTATAAATATTCAAACCTTTACTGAAAGCAGCTTGTATGTGAAATTTAAATGACATATAATACACCAGAAAAAAGGCTCCATTCCAAAGTTCTACAAAAAGGAATTATATTTACAGATGACATGAACTAATCAAATACAGCTAGTGTTGTCGGGAAAACTTAATGGCATGCCATAACTTAATATCACAGTAAATATGCATAACAGAACCCATAATTATTTTTCTAATAATCAAGCCAAAAGCAAAGAAGTAAATGGAGCAATATAAAAATGAAAACAGAAAAAGACAAAGGCAAGTACCACAAAAAACATTTATAACTCAGATGGCTTGAGAAACCAGTTAAACCCCTGAAGCTTTTGGTTTTTTGTCTATTTTTGTGTTTTGTTTTTATCACATGCTAGTCTTCTCTGCCCCTAAATGCTAAAATGCCCTCATGATTCTGTAGATACCTCAGAGTATGGCCATTCCTCCAGAAATTCCTCCCACTGAAAAAGGTTAATGGAAAGTACAGATGTGTGGGGAAGACAGGCAATCTCTCCATCAGGGGAATGGCTGAATGGAAAGCAATAGCCCCCCTTCCCCCAGCATCTTCTAGGTGGTCACTCTTAATTTGCATCTGAGTCCTGCCTCAGATAATCACAACAGCTGCAGAGTAAAACACTGTGCCCAGAACAAAGCTCGCATACCATGAGGGTTCTCTGTTCCCTCACCAACACCAAACTGCTCCTTGGTAGAGGTTTCCAAAATGCCAATGCAACGTGGGCTTCTCAGATGGATTTGATTTCAATCACAATTAGTGCCAAACATCTTTGATATGCAAAATGTCTGCATGTCTACACTAGCAAATAAGAAGTATCCACCAACCAGCACCAAGTTTTCTTCCAAGATGTTAAAGTAATTAGCATATCTATAAATGTTAAAATACCTGTTGTAAAGATGAAGAAACTGAGAGTCAATAATTAAGGGAATCAAATGATCAGAAGAACTACAACCCATAAAACCTTGGGAAAAGTTAATATTTCATAGTCTTTAATAAAGCAAGGCTATTATCATTTCATATGGAAATATTTTGAAAGTTTATAGCTAGTGCATATTAAAAGCACATTTTATCAATAAATTTTCCATGCTGAACATATTAGCATATAATTTTAAGGAGGAATTTTAAAATATCAAACAGAACTAAGTACTAAGCTAAGGTGCCTGGTTTTTACATATTTTCAACCATATTACATATAATTAATCCACTGAGCTCCTAAAAATCCAGTCTGCATTATATGTAATTTGGTGAACAGATTTGCCACTTTTAAACATAGTTTAAGGTTATGTAAGCATGCACAATTAAGGGAATAGAATTAAGTGACCAAACTCCTGTTGGTAAGAGAGTGGAGTAAGTACATGTCCTCAGTCAGGTTGTGGTCCGTTTGAACTGATGGGTTTGCCTGGCTCTTGCCACAAGCACACTGTTATTTATTTTTAAGTCATAAATAATTATCTTACAGGAGTCAGTAATGTGTATGTGGAGATGCATGTGTGTGGAGAAGAAATGGGGTAAGTTCTCTGACAACATTTGTTTTCTGTTCTTAATTATTCCCCAAAGATTTTTTTTTTTTTTTAATAACAGAAGTGAATGCCAAGAAGGAAGCTTTAAATCAAATCTTCACTGGCCCAGGTGGTGGTGTCATGCCATTATCAGGCCTTTGTAACCTGTGTGAGCTCTAACAGTTGCAATGAGAGGGAAGCCCATGTTACCTGCTCCTTAGAGACCTAGGTTCTTGATAGCACCTACAGAGGATGGAAACGTGGATGTCTGGAAAGATTCTAAGACTTTCCTATTAGCAGAAATCACAAGTAAAATGTAAAAGCAAAATTCAAACACTAACTAAAGAGCTCATCTAATAATTCTACACTGGGATCACCAGAACAAAATGGAAAAAAAAAAAAAGTGCTGTTTTAAAACCTCTCAAAAAAACGGTGGTGGCAACGGTTTGATTAGTGATGTGTCTGTATATGCCGCCCAATAACTAGAAACAGTAATCCAGCTAATAAAGAAAAAAATATCCCCGCCGGGGCCAGGAAAAATGACCAGCCATACAGAATAGAAGGGGTGAACTCCAAGCAGTCTCTCATTTTCATATTTTTGTAGCCTTCCATGTCAGCCACTGCCTGGACCCAGATGACATACAGCATCACCACCAGGGAGAACAGGATGCCTGAGAAGGACAAAACAAAAGACCTTTAGTCTTTCCGAAGATGTGTCCCAAGAACACTAACCGATCATTTGCCTGATGATATGTCTCTAAAAATACCATTCTAGCCAAATCACCTACTTTGTGTCATACCCTTTATTATGTGTTTTATACGCACACTGCTTAGCTTTAATTTTAAAGCATTGTGATGGCAACATAAGAACAATGGCAACAGCTGACATGCCTTCATTGAGTACTACTCTATGCCAGGCTCTGTATTAGGTGTTTATGAACATAAGAGTCAAAGATCCGGCCTAGTGGAATTTCTCCTAACATTTCCCATCTGTACTATATGCCTGGTCTGGAGTGAGCACTGTAATACATTATTTATTTCAATTTGTACAATGAATTGATAAAATAGGTACTATTGACCCTCGGTTTTAAAGGATATGCAAAAACAACCAGTAGTTTTCAGAGCCGCGTTTTAGCTCAGGTCTTTCCAACTATTATTATATTATTACAACACAGCCTAACTAGTGCTATGGGTAATTTTGTCAATGAAAACCAAAGCCAAAGTAAGTATCAGACAAAAACAGAGATGAAAGCACTGAACTAATTTAAAAGAATAGACATGATTCTTTCAAATTGAAATACAGATGCTGAAGATTGATTATAGCATAAAGGCAACATTGCCTGGAAAGAATGAGGAAAAAATTAATGAAAAATTTCTGTGGAATGTAAAACCACAGGTATAAGACCAAGAGCCTTATTAGACAAGAGAAAGGAACCGAAGAAGAATGGAGGGTTGCAGGGAGGGAGCAATGTGACCAAAGAGCTTCGTGAATGCTAAAACTTGAGAATGCTGCAAAGCATATACTTTTCCACGTGGTGGGCACTGAAATAACAGAAGGGAGCAGCCCCACTGTGCTGAGCTGCAAACCCAGGAGAGTCAGCCAAGCTGATACACGGGTGAGTGAGTGACAGGTCCCACACACAAACCACGCAGCCTGAGGGATTCAAATTTGTCCCTGAGCAAAATATACTTGAGGTCATTTGCTAGTTTCCAAAAGTTCAATCCAAACATGTCAAGGACCTATTATAGTCTCGAATTAATGAACGAAACCATCAGGCATAAAATCTCCATATTCTAATTGCGAGTCAGTCTGAAAGGTAAACATAACCCTGTGACTAGGAGCAGAGAGGGAGGCATATTGGCAGGACAGAGTAGCTTTTAAGAGCCTAGCCATTAATCACCCTTCTCCAGTTAATTGTGCTCCCACAGTATTTAGGATGTCTTCTCTCTCTTGGGCCATCCACTGTGTAAAGAATCCTGAGAAGTACACACAAAAGAAGACGGGCTCATAAATATGCCAAGGTGAGTCTTAAACTTTCTCATAATCATGATACAAACACAAAGCAATGAAGAATCAACATAGATGCTTCACTAATAAGAAACATCCTTCACACTGTGGTCTGTAATGTAAATGCAAATACTGGAGCACAGAAGAGTGCAATTTAACCACTGAACAACAGCTATGTCAGAGAGAAATAGTAAAGTCATAGCCGGCGAGCAAACTCCTTGCAAAACCGTACCTCAGATGCTGACAACAATATGGCAATGCCATGTGTTGTCGAGCAACTCTGTGCATTTCAATACATTTTTCTGCAAATATATAGACACTGCTCTCCCCTAATGTAAAGGTTTGGCTTAGTTATTTGCATACTATTTGCCTTATGCAAACACACTGCAAATCTTTGTTATTATTTGTTGATATGTTTCTTATCTCTCTTGCATCATGTGACTCTCTTGTGCTTTCAGATAGTTTTATAAAAACAGAGAATTGCTTTTGTGAGAACCAGTAGCCTTATGCATATTTTCTTTCAAAAGTTGCAAAACCCATTACTAAATTTAGAGTATTTAAAAAAAAATGTATTGTGGGGCGCCTGGGTGGCTCAGTCCTTAAGCGTCTGCCTTCGGCTCAGGTCCTGGTCCCAGGGTCCTGGGATGGTGTCCCACATGGGGCTCCCTGCTCAGTGCGAAGCCTGCTTCTCCCTCTCCCACTCCCCCTGCTTGTGTTCCTACTCTCGCTATCTCTCTCTCTGTCAAATAAATAAATAAAATCTTTTTAAAAAAATGTATCACAAGTAACCATGTGGATGATTCTTAATAAGGAAGAATGAACTTGTATTTTAAAATTGCCGTTATTTGAAGAGCATTTACAACCTGAAAGCAATGAAAATAGGCGTTTCTATCACTACAATCTTTAACTTGTTCACTAATTGAAGATACTGTCATTTAATTCATATCATATCTGTTTATAATTACATCTTCCCATGGGGTAAAAGAGTGTTTCCCTACCTATTAAATTGCCAGTGTTTTATACCAGTGTGTATATGTGTGCATGTGCGCACTCACATGGAAAGAGACAAACAGAAAGTAAATGAACTAACAGACATTGGTAAGTATTTACACCAAAGGCCAATGGTTTAGCTGACATGACAGCAAGAATTTATGATGGGGGTTTTACATAATGCATCTGGCCAACAGAAGAGTCAGGAGACTATTACCTAGAGGTAGACTGATCAAACAAATAAATATATTGAGGTTAATTGGAGTCATGTTCTTCACTGCCTGAAAAGGGAGTTACAAATTTGAAAAGGGGGAAAGCTAAAATAAAGTCTATGGTGTTTGTTTGGAATTAAATGTATCAGTGTGAATTTATGACTCTAGATAGATAGATAGATATAGAAGTAAAAGTGTGTGTATGTGTGTGTGTTAAGATACACCCATGTGTATACACCTACATATATTTCCTGGCTCTGTGTCCTGGGAGGATCTGGGAGCAATAACACCTCAGTAGCATGGAGCACACCAAGTATCTGGATACTTGGCTTCTAAATATCAGGAACCAGGCATCTCAAAGAAATAGGTGAATCCAGGCTGGGACAGAAAGTACAAGATAAGTCTGGAATGTCAGATATGCTCTCAGAATGGTGGGGGTGTTTCAGAAGCTAGCTCGAGAGGTTCCCCCTAGCCAGCTCTGAGGCAATCAGACTATCAGACCAATAATGATAATGGCACATGATACCTCACTGAATAAAAGAGAAATCCATGAGCCCACAGTGATATAAATAAATGAATGAATACATTAGGCAGGGAGAAGGGAAAGCTTTTCCTTAGAGAATGCTAACTTATAAATGTAGAAGGAATAGTTCAATTAGAAATCACCATTTGGCAATCATTTAAGTAATAATACAGGCAAGGGAAAAAAATGGATGCTAAAACTAGTAGATGAAATTTAGATGACAAATAAATATTTACACAGGCTCAAAATCTCTTCCCACAAAACACTTACCAATTGTAAAGGGGAAAACAGTAATTTCATACTGAAGAAACCTGGCAAATAGCACCTTACTCAAATGATCAGAGGGCATGTCCCCGGTGGCATGGCATGCTGATGTCACTAACCACCTTGTAAGATACAATGAGAATAACACAGCATCACTGCTATGATACAGCCAAAAATGAAGAGCCTAAATCCAATCAGAAGAAAACATCAAACACACCAACTCAGGAACATTCTAGAAAATCACAGGCCTGTACTCTTGTAGAGTCGAGGTCATGAAGGTCTAAGTAGGACTTATTCTGGTCTGATGGAGATTCAGATAACATTACTACTAAATGCAAAGCATGTTCCAGGACTGGAGGCTTTTGCTAGAAAAGACATTGAGATAGTTAGTGAAAGGTGAATGGAGTCTCTGGGTGAAGGGATTTTTCAACTTCTATGTACATCTGAAAATATTTCAAAACAAAAGACAAAATGAATGAATTAAAAAACACAAAAAAGCATGGTGGGAATCTGTGGTTATGTGCGTTAGAAAGGACATATACTGGCGGGAATGGGAGGAGAGTATGTGTGTTCATACACCCAGAAAGACACATTTTCTTTTGGTGGGCTATTGTGATGATTAATGAACAGTAATATTGCTGATTTGGTTCACCTACCAAGTGGAGAGTATCATTTGGGGGAACACTAATGGAAAAATACTATGTTAAAATCTTAATTATTATCCCTTGATTTCTTAAAGGACTCTCTCTCATTCGTGAAAACATAAGTAATAACTGTCCCTGAGTAACAAGTGAGTTACATGTCAAAGCCACTTGCCACTGTGATTTTAGCAGGAATAGAAAATATTGCTAATATTCAGGTAATAATTTATTTTTAAATTAAGTTATATTTAAATTTGGTCATATTTTGAAAGCATAATTTATTTCCAATTAAATTTAAAAATACCTAATTGTTTGAAGACCAAAAAAATTCATAAAACAGCTCACTGCAGGCATAAAGTAAGATAGCAAATCCCAAGAAGATTTGTGATAATAAAACCATGGACAAATAATTAAGTCACAAGAAGAATGCATTGGTTCTCTTACTAATTAGCAATGTGTGGAAGAGCCACTCACGATTTTACAACACTTACGAAGTTGAAAACTTCTCCTTCTAAATATTATGAATTCAATTTGGAAAGCATTTTATCTGAAACAAAGGTCACGTAGTCACAAAGGGCCATTAGGAATGCAATTGCTAATGATAAACAATATGAAAATGTTCACAATGTGGAAAAAAATACCAAAGAATTTCACCAACATCAAGTCACAGACTAAAAGTAAAACTGCATGACCTCAATATTTTATGGAAGCAAGTATGGAAAAATAAACCAGATTTAAAAACACATTCTTAAGAAAATAAAATAAAATAATAAAAACACCTTCCTAGAGAAAAGTTAGCCACAGAAATGAAAACTCTTCAAAAAGACAGGCGAATGTCGGGGGCAGAGCAAGATGGCGGAGGAGTAGGAGACCTGGATTTCATCTGGTCTCAGGAATGCAGCCGAATAGGGATCAAACCATCCCGAACACCTATGAACTCAACAGGAGATCGAAGAAGAGAGTAGCAACAACTCTCTGAACAGAGAAGCGACCACTTACTGGAAGGTAGGACGTACGGAGAAGTGAATCCGAG